TCTGTGTCTTAGTTTTTTCATCTGTAAAATGGAGATAATAGCACTATCTATTTCATAGGATTTCGATGAGGATAATTGAGTTAATTCATGTTAATATTTATAATAGTATCTGGCAACTACTGTCCCCTCAATAGATGTTAACTACTTGTATTAGTCAGGGTTCTCCAGAGAGACAGAACCAATAGGATAGATAGATTGAAGATAGACAGATAGATAGATTAGATGATAGATAAAGGGGGAATTTGCTAGGGGAACTGGCTTATGTGATTATGGAGGCTGAGGGGTCCCATGACTGGCCATCTGCCAGCTGGAGACCCAGTGAAGCCGGTTGCATGACTCAGTTCAAGTCTGAAGGCTGAGAACCAGGGAAGCCAGTGGTGTGACTCTCAGTCCAAGGCTGAAGGCCTCAGTACCCAGGGGCCACTGGTGCAAGTCCCAGAGTCCAAAGACTGAAGAGCTTGGAGTCCTGATGTCCAAGGGCAGAAGAAGGTTGTCCCAGCTCTGAGAGAGAGTGAATTTGCCTTTCCTCTGGCTTTTTGTTCTATTCAGGCCCCCAGTTGATTGCATTGTGTGTCTATCCACATTGAGGGCAGATCTTCCCCACTCCATCCACAGGCTCATCTGCCACTCTGTCCAGAAATCATGCTCTACCAGCCATCTAGGTATCACTCAATCCAGTCAAGTTGACACATCAAATTAACCATCCCACAACTATCATTTTATTCTCATCGAATTTAATAATTCTGGGACATTTCTGGGACAGTCCCTGGCATCCTGGTGCTCTGTAAGTACTAATTTTCCTTACTTCTTTCTTTTTTGGCCCTTCCACAAAGTCAGCTGTAGCTTCCATTCATGCTCCCCAATGAGCTACATCTTAAACAGTCTTGGCTCAGCCCTCTGAGCACTCTGGTTTCTTGCTTTTCCTTTCTTTCTTTCTTTTTTTTTTTTTTTTTTGTGAGATGGAGTCCTGCTTTGAAGTTCAGTGGTGTGATCTCAGCTCACTGCAATCTCTGCCTCCCAGGTTTAAGCAATTCTCATGCCTCAGCCTCCCAAGTACCTGGGATTACAAACATGTGCCATCAAACCTGGCTGATTTTTTTGTTTTTGAGACAGGGTGTTGTTCTTGTTGCCCAGGCTGCAGTGAGATGGCATGATCTGGGCTCACTGCAACCTCTGCCTCCTGGGTTCAAGTGATTCTCCTGCCTCAGCCCCCAGAGTAGCTGGGATGACAGGTGCCTGCCACTATGCCCAGCTAATTTTTGTATTTTAGTAGAGATGAGTTTTCACCATGTTGGCCAGGCTGGTCTCGAACTCTTGACCTCAAATGATCCACCCGCCTCAGCCTCCCAAAATGCTGGAATTATAGGCGTGAGCCACCGCACCAGGCCTCTTGCTTTCCTTTATTTCCAATAAGATCCTTGTAAGAACAAGCTCCACCAAGCAGAGAGGGTGGGTGAGCTATGCTCAATCACCTGAGCCTCTCATTACCTGCCCAGATGGGTCCTACATCTTGTGATTGCCTCTTCCAAACACAGAACCCCAGGAATTTGCCATGCCAAGCTTTCAATGGCCAAACAATTTTAATGCATGCAAGGGAAGAATGTTGGGTACACATTTCACTGTCATTTCTGTAAAGGGATGGCAAGAGGGACATGAGTGAAGGAGCTACAGATTTTGCCAAGGTAAATGGCTGCAGTGTTTTTTGGCCCCGAGGGTGGGTGAAAAAGAAGATGGTGGTGGATATGGGAGGATGGCCTGAATGATGGCAGGTGTAAAAGCTGGGACACTCGTGGCTGCAATTAACAGAAACTGCAACCCAGAGTTGCTTAAACAATAAGGACAGTTTGTAGGTCACATAACAGATAGTTCTGGAGTAGATTCTTCAGGGCTAGTTGATCCAGTGCTCAGCAATATCATCAGAGATCCAGATTCTTTCTTTCTCTCTTTTTTCTTTCTCTCCTTCCTTCCTTCCTTCCTTCCTTCCTTCCTTCCTTCCTTCCTTCCTTCCTTTCTTTTTTCCTTTCTTTCTCTTTCTTTTGACAGAGTCTTGCTCTGTTGCCAAGGCTGAAGTGCAATGGTGCTATCTCAGCTCACTGCAACCTCTGCCTCCCAGGCTCGAGTGATTCTCATGCCTCAGCCTCCTAAGTAGCTGGGATCACAGGCATGTGCCACCACACCCAGCTAATTTTTGTATTTTTAGTAGAGACAGGGTTTTGCCATGTTGGCCAGGCTGGTCTTGAACTCCTGGTCTCAAGTGATCTGCCTGGCTCAGCCTCCCAAAGTGCTGGGATTACAGGTGTGAGCCACTGCACCCAGCCAGATGTCCAGATTCTTTCTATTTCTGCCCTGCCATTCTCAGTGCTGGCTTCCTCCTCCGGTTGCTAGCCAGGATGTTGTGGCAGCTATGAATGTCACATCCAGGCATAACAATTTCCAGACAAAGAGAAATGGTCTCTTTCTGTAATGCTAAGAGGAGAAACATATCTCAGAGTGTGCCCCCAACAACTGTCCTCTCATGTCTCATTGCTCATTGTTGGGTCATGTGTGCACTCCAGACACAATCTGCATGGGCAATGGGATTGGTCACTCATCCAGATGGGATGGAGATCAGCATTATCCTAGCAATGGACTTGTGGGATATTATGGGCTGAACAGTGTTCCCCCTACTAAATTTATCTGTTGAAACCATAATCGAAGTGCCTCAGGATATGACTGTATTTGGAGACTGGGCCTTTACAGAAGGGATTGAGTTTAAAATGAGGCTGTTAGGGTGTGCTCTAATCCAATCTGACTGGGAGGCTGAGTGATCTGCCCTCCTCAGCCTCCCAGAGTGCTGGGATTACAGGCATGAGCCACTGTGCCTGGCCTATTTTTGACATTTTAAACTGGAAATGCTGTTGAGGTAACCAAGTGGAGGTATCTAGTAGAAAGATGAAACTGTAAGTTGGATTTCAAGAAATTTGGGAGCTTTCAGTGCTGATGCAGGCAACCAACACCATGAAAACAGAGGTAATTTGTGGGAGAGAGTTTTCATTTATGCAGAAAACAGGCCCGATGGCTGTGGACACCTGTTGAATATTTCCATATTTGTGACTCCTGTGGGAGTCACACACACACACACACACAACAGGTGATATAATCATTGATAAAACTTTTGGATGTTATATAGTGTATTCTTCTGGTCATACTCCTATGCAAGTATAGATTTAATTTCCTTTGTATGTGACTCATACTCTACATGCTTAATCTTTTTATTGAAGTATAACAGTCATGCAGAATTGTACACAATCATAAGTCAGTGGCTTTTCATGTCATTAAATGTTCTTTTGCAACATCAATTTTAAAAAGTTGCAAGGTATTCCACCCATAGATGTACCATCATTCAGTTAACTAGTGCCTGTTACAGAACTTCTGTTTTTTTCTAGTTTCCTCATCTCTCCCTCAAAAATGCTGCAGAGATGATTTACCTATATTTAACATTTTTGTGCCCATTTTCAATTTTCCCTCAGAATAAAATTCTTAGGGCAAAATTTCTGGGTCCAAGGTATATGCATATTTTTAAATATATTTTTTATTTTAGGATAGTTTTAGGTGTAGAGAAAAATTATGAAGATACTACAGTTTCTGTGTAATCCACACAATTTCCCCTATTATTCACTCTTTTTTTTTGAGGGAGTCTCACTCTGTTGCCCAGGCTGGAGTGCCGTGGCTCTATCTCTGCTCATTGCAACCTCCACTTCCCCAGCTCAAGCTATTCTCCTGCCTCAGCCTCCCAAGTAGCTGGGATTACAGGCATATGTCACCACACCCGGCTAATTTTTTGTATTTTTAGTAGAGAGGGGGTTTCTCCATGTTGGCAAGGCTGGTCTTGATCTCCCGACCTCATTGATCTGCCCACCTCGGGATTATAGGCGTGCTGGGATTATAGGCGTGAGCCACCACACCTGGCCCAATACATTATTATAGTTGATACTTTATCCAGTTTTCCTTAGTTTTTACCTAATGTTCTTTTTAAAATTGCAGTGTCACAGCCAGGATACCATATTACATTGTCATGTCTCCTTAGGCTCCTCCTGGCTCTGAGTTTCTCAGACTTTCCTTGCGTTTGCTGACCTTAACCATTTTGAAGAATACTGATCATGCACTCTGCAGAATGTCCCTCAATTCAGGTTTGTCTGATTTTTCTTTTCTTATAATTAGACTGGGGTTATGAGATTTGGAAGGAAACTATCATAAAGTGCCATTCTCATCATATATCATTCTACATACTATCAACGTGATTTAGCACATAATCGTGGTCACCTGGCTGAATTACTGTTTGCCAGGTATCTACACTGTAAAATTACTCATTTTCCCCTTTATATATGTTGTACTTTTGGGAAAGAAGTCACTATGCACAGCCCACATTTAAGGAGGTGGAAGTTATGCTCCAGGATGGTGTGTCTGCATACTTTGAGATTCTTCTGTGGGGGATTTGTCGCTTCTCCATTCTTTAATTCATTCAGTCACTTTTTTATATCGGTGTGAGTTCACGAATATTTCTTTTATACTTTGAGTTATAATCCAGTATCACTTGCTCAAGGCAATTTGTAATGTTCTGAGTAACTCAGTGCAAAACAATCCCTCCCAAAGGTTGTACCAGCTCACAGGGTAGATGTCATTAAGATCCATTTCCCCTCAACTTCACACACCCTTTATAAAGGTCAGAAAGCAAGCGGGAAGCTGACAACCCTCCCTAGCGCCAATTTCTGGACGCCCCTAAGGAAGATGAGGCCAGCATGCTGGGGTCGTTCCCCACATGGGCACCTCAGCCCCTGAGGCGCCCTTTCCCGGCCAGCCCCTATTCACCACCCTTCCTTGGTCCCTGCCCCATCTCCTGGCTTCCTGCGGCACCGCCCCCACAACTCCCCGATCGCAGGGCGGAAGTGGGTGTGGCCACGGGCGGAAGCACTGGGTTAGGGGCCCGCTATCGCAGCCAGCCCCGCCCACTCGCCGCCGCCCCACCCCTCCGGCCCAGACCGGAAATGAGGTCAGAGAGGGAAACCCCGGCGGTGAGAGTCGGCCCAAAAAGCGGCGGCCGTTCGAGGTGGCTGCGGCAGCTGGTGAGGGGGTGGAGCGCGTTGAGAGTGTTGGGGTCCTGAGGGCTAGTGCCAGAGGGGATCGGATCGCCAAGCCGCGGCTGAGCGGCCAAGGGCGTCTTGGGGCTGCGGCAGCCGGCTGAAGGGTGAGGGTGGTGGGGCCTTGCTTTTCAGGGCCCATGTCCCTATCCCTGGGGATGTGGGTCGGACCGTCTCCGGGGCCACAGTCCCCTTTTCTCCTTTCTCCTTTTTGCCTCTCTGGGGCTGGCGGCAGCAAGAGGGCTTGGGAAACGGGCCACGGTCGCCCCAGCCCTCAGGGACGGGCCGGGGCGTGGTGGAGAGTCCTTCGAAACACGGTGTTTCTCACATATGTGGCCATGTTGCGACCCCCGATCCCGGAGGGAGCTCAGTCGCCACGACTTCCATTTTGGCAGTTTCTGCCCTAGAAGAGCCGACCCCCGTCCTTGGTGAGCCCAAATGAGAAGTTGCCTCCCGCCTCTCCCACCTCCTACTCCGCCCCTCACTTCTACCCCGCTCCTGCTTCTCTTCATACTTGCTGTCCACAACTACCAGTTCCTTCCTCTGCGTGACTCAGCCTCATCTCTACCTGGGTGCATGCCTGGTCCCCGGGTCCTCTCGAGAGTGTGCACCCGCAACTGGAGATGGGAGCCCTAGGGTCCTTCTGTCACCTACTGTTCGAGTTGTAGGCTTTGATGCAGGAAAGGATTCTGCATAGGCATTTGACTACTGACTTCGTTCCATGTTCAAGTTTGTGCTGTTCTGAGGTTTTTGTTTGTTCTTTTGTTTTTTGTATTTTTGTTGCCTGAGTTTTTAAAGCAGTAATTCTTTATTAGGGAAGTGGATTTAGACATGCTGTTCCCACTTGTTTCTCTATTTTGGTCTTAGGGACACTTGTCTCCCAAACCTCAATCATGGCATTTTAACCCCTCCCCCCCATTTTTTCACCTCTTTTCACAGGCGTTGATAAATCACTTCTTATTGCTTGAAAGAACTTGGCCTTTTAAAAGTGTATGTGCCTTTGAACACTTTGAGAAGCGTTGTTTGTATGGTAGTTTTGGAAGTAGGTGTCACCATTGCTCCTAAAGGTGTGGCAGATAAGCCAGAGGACTGTTTTCCTGCCTTTAAATTCATTGACATAGGCACAACATGAAAATCGTATTTAGAAAACGCTTTGCAAAGTGAAAACTGAATGAATGGAAATATGGTCGAAGAGTGACACCACAGAATTTTAAGCTCTAGTTTTGATCTTGAAAAACGAAAAAAGTGCTAAAAATTTAATATGTATTTAATTAGGTGCTGTACAAATTATGTTAAACATTTCCCCTTAAGAAGGAATTTTGAAGATTGCTCCTACTACTCTCATTTCTTGAAATGTTTGCCTCTGAAGTGACCCCTGAAATGTGATGTTTGGTTTGAGGATGCATAGAAAAATAAGAAATTTTAGAAAGCAGTTCGGCCAGAAATCTTAGAAACTTCAACTTATCCCTGTCATTTCAGCTGCTGTCGTATCATTTTATTCTGTGATTGTGTGGCACTGAAGCATATAACTAGGACGAACATTGATTTTCTGAAGGATAGGAGAGGGGCTTAAAAATTGTTAATTACTCAAAAATATATGAGCTTCCAGGTAGTAGTTGGTACCAGAATGGGTGCAAACTTAGTCTATTCTCCTTTCTGACTTCAAACCTGGGTCACTGCAATTTCTTGGATCACAAAAACTGCAGTCTTCTTTAAAGAGTGTCACTAAGTTGTCTTTCTGCCATGGCCATTGTCAGCAGTGACCCCAGGCCAAAGATCAGTTTTTCATTCATTCTCAATACCTTGTTGAGACCGTGTCCTGCTCTGTGTTTCCACAGCTCTACTCTGATTTTGAAGTTGTGTGTTTTTCTACTCCTGTCTAATGAGACAGTCTCTAATCTTTCTGGATCTCATCATTAGGTAATTCAGTGACAAGTTTAATTGGGGAAAGAGAGACGGGTCTAATTCCCCGAATTTGTTTTGGGTCCTGTCCCAGTTGTCATCTGGTGAGCAGGTTTTTGTGCTTAAGAATATGTTGACTTCAGTCATTTAACAATGGACAGAAAACTTATTTTTAGTGACTGAAGGAAGTGGTAGGAATAGAATCTAAGTGTAGCCAGATGAAAGATGACATATTTTGTTTAGGCAGGCAGAACTATGGACTACCGTGATCTGTTTTATCAAATTATTCTAAAACAGCAGATCCTTTTCATGCTCTCTTTTTCTTTTTCTTTTTTTACCCCCCTGAACTCCTTTTGGCAGATGTGGCCTCATGGATGAGCTGGTACACGACTTAGCATCAGCCTTGGAGCAGACATCTGAGCAGAATAAGCTTGGTGAGCTGTGGGAGGAGATGGCCCTGAGCCCCCGGCAGCAGAGGCGGCAGCTTCGGAAACGCCGAGGTCGGAAGCGTCGTTCTGACTTCACTCACCTGGCAGAGCATACCTGCTGCTACAGCGAGGCCTCTGAGTCAAGTCTGGATGAGGCCACTAAGGACTGTCGAGAAGTGGCCCCCGTGACCAATTTTAGTGACTCTGATGACACAATGGTAGCCAAACGACACCCAGCTCTTAATGCCATTGTTAAGAGTAAGCAACATTCTTGGCATGAATCTGACTCCTTTACTGAAAATGCACCTTGTCGACCACTCAGGCGCAGGCGGAAGGTGAAGCGAGTGACATCAGAGGTGGCTGCCAGCCTTCAGCAGAAGCTGAAGGTGTCAGATTGGAGCTATGAGAGAGGTTGCAGGTTCAAGTCTGCCAAGAAGCAACGTCTGTCCCGCTGGAAGGAGAATACTCCTTGGACCTCATCAGGCCATGGATTGTGTGAATCAGCAGAAAATAGGACTTTCCTAAGCAAAACAGGAAGGAAAGAAAGGATGGAGTGTGAAACAGATGAACAAAAACAGGGCTCTGATGAGAACATGTCAGAATGGTGAGACCTCCCTTACTAAGTCAAAGATTTTCCTGGTTAATTTTACCCAGAGTACACATCCACAGTCTTAGTGGGCTCTACTTTCTTTCAAACCTGCCACTTGAGTATTGACTTTGAAGCCTTCCTTGAATCAATCAGTAGTTTAGCTTTTTAAGGTACCATTCATGAGCCTATTTCCCTCTGTCAGGAAGGCTGTATGTAATAGAAACACAGTTGTTTCTAAAAATTGTTTAAAACGCATACCTCAAATGCACAACTAATAATTTTACGTAAAAAAAATTTGCTGCTTATTATGCCATGTAGTTTGTACATAAATATTGTTCTTTAGAACTCAGGTTTCAGCAGAGGCTGGTATGTGAGTGTGTGAGAGAAAATGCTGGGGTCAGGCATACGGAGTTTGTAAATGTTCTGTTAAGTTGCCTGTCCCTATTAAGAATCATGGCTTTAGATACTTTTTGGCTGTAATTTTGTTCTCTGCTACTTGTGGTTTGACAATATCGAGTTTGTTTTTTTATGGCTGACATTGAAGTTGTCTGAACACATGGTGGGCTTTGAAAATAACAGTGCCGAGTCCCATTAGTCTTACATCACATGTGATCAAGCCAGAAAAATTTGTCTCTAATGGGTGCATGTTTAAAAATGTAAGTGTAGTTTTGGTGACTTTTTATTTTTTACATCTCAGATAGTCCTAGGAACATTGATAGTGATTATCTTTTTCTTAATAGTGAGGTTGCCATTGGTGTTTTGGATGGGACAATTCTTTATGGTGCATTGCAGAATATTTAGCATCTCTACATTGTTCACATCCCCTGTTCCGTTATCAACCCAGAAGCCTCTGGGGTGATCCCTAGGTGGGTTGGGTACACCCATTTGACAACCAGTGTAGTCTATTACTGTTAATAGTAGTTGGCATTTGTTAAGCACTATGTGCCAGACACTGTTCTATGGACTTAACATATACTGTCTCGTTTTTTTTTTTGACAGAGTCTCGCTCTGTCGCCCAGGCTGGAGTGCAGAGGTGCAGTCTTGGCTCACTGCAACCTCTGCCTCCTGAGTTCAAGCAATTCTCCTATTTGAGCCTCCTGAGTAGCTGGAACTACAGGTGTGGGTCACCCTGCCTAGCTAATTTTTGTATTTTTAGTAGAGACGGGGTTTCACCATGTTGGCCAGGCTGGTCCTGAACTCCTGACCCGCCTCATCCTCCCAAAGTGCTAGGATTACAGGTGTGAGCCACTGCGCCCGGTTGGACTTAACATATACTCTTATTTAATGTTCACAATTCCACTATATGGTGGATACCACTATTTGTATTTATAGAAGGGAAGTTGAGGTTGTAAGAGCTTAGATAATTTGCCTAAGGTCATCCAGTGCCAAAACTGAGAATCAAGCCTGATTCCAAAGCGTATTCTTAACTGCCATGTTGTGCTGCCCTTTGAGTTGTTTTGTCTCAATTTAACTTTCCCAGCTGCAGGACATGTGACTTTCCTGAAACTTGTCTTAAAAACCAAGACGTTAATCTTAGGAACTTTGAGGTGAGGCTGTGTCAGTAACAGGAAAAGCTGTTTAGGTCTTTATGCCTGTACCTTTCATGGATGGTTTTTAATCCAGCTTTTAAACTTTTTCTTATTAACTTTATATTTGCCAGTTATATATTTATATATTTATATAACTGTAAATTATATTGAGATAAGCTCATAATTTGACTTTCCTAATTTTCCTCTAATGCCTAATTCCCTTTAAGATTTATACAATTTATATGAATATATTTGGATTATAAAGATATTTTTTCTCAGACTATTTTTAATCAAACAAGAAATGCATAGTCAACTTGTAGCCTTTCACACTATTGAAACCCTCTATCAAGACATTCAAGTTTGTTTTAATATTAAGCATATATACCAAATAGAAGTCTTCTTAGTGTTGAGAATGGTGATTTTAAAAGTAGCCTTTTGGGATGATAGCCTTGTGTATGTTTCTTCCCCAGAATTTCTTGTTAAACTACGACATAATTGTGTGTGTGAGAGACTGTTAACTCTGTCTGCTCTGAGATAACAGCCCAAGGATGGCTCCAGATGTAGAGCCTATAATCTGGCAGTGAGATGCTTCGCCCTTTTCTGTTCCTTCTTTCTTCAGACACATCTATTGATCATTCTAGTCAGGATGTGGCAATATAAATTCTAGTTATCTGAGAGTCTGGATAAACTTAAGTGGATGGGAATTCTTATGAAATTCTTACTCTTTTCAAATTGGGGAGACCTCATTCCCCCATTTGGGCTATTACCCTGGTCCCTCACTTCAGAGTAGGCTTGTAGCTGTGAAGGAATAGTGGGTGGAGTGGTAACACACATGGCATGAGGAAAGTTCTCTAAAATCTTCTAATTATTTAGGAGTTCTAAATTCTCCTACTTGTCTCAATTCATCTGTAGTTACAAACAGAAATGCTTTGTATTTTTTCCTCCTAGGTTCACTCTGTGAAGAAAGGGAGTGATTCTTTCTCTTTGACCACATGTTGTGTTCAGCCCCTCCTCAACAGGAGAGTGGAACTAAAATCTTTTCATATTCAAGCTGCCCTTGATTATTAGGCACACCTTTAAACAGGGCTAGCACTAGAGTGTAAGTAGATAATAGTTTATGATTTCGTTATACTGTTTTGGTGAGTTGATTCTGTCAACATTTTTCTTCTTTTTTTTTTTTTCACTACATTTTTAAAAGAAATACTTTCAAGAATCTTCTTGGTTACCCTTTCATAAATCTGCTTGGCGGTACCACTGTTTATTCACATACAAATCAAAATGTAGAATTTTACTTTTTAGCAGTGGTATTGATGGTTGTCAGAGTAATGATCCACATTGTAAGATTATTAAAATGAAGTTCATTGTTAAGCTTAGCTTAGCCTAGTCAATGGTAGAGTTGTGTTTTTTTTTTTAAGCATGAATTAGGTGTTTTAGATTTAAAAATGTATGTCTCTATCAGCTTATTTCTAATTTCCTTAAACTCACTCTTTGTGAACTAAACATGGAGTAGTTATAGACTTCATCAATATTTGTTTGCTTTTCCCTTTCTGGTCTTCCCTTAATATTACACCAACCAATCCCTCACACGTTCTGAGAGTCATAAAATGGTTATAGTGAAATAGTTTTTTTCTGCTTGCATAGAGATCAAACTATTATTTTAATATTTTTTCTGTGTATGTGTATGAGTATTCTGAAGTAGAACAACTATTGTAAAATTATTTTCTACCAATCTTTATTCAAATTGTATAGCAGCTATTAATAGCTATTAGCTATTAGGTGACTGTAGCCTAATTTTGCTCTGTTCTTTACTAACATATTACTTGTTTGTGCCCCTTGAATATAGTTTAGCTTCTTTTTCTTTCATAAGTGAATTGGTTGGGTGATGGCCAGAAGTCACATTCAGGAGCCTTCCTAAGGTGATGTATTAGAGGCTGATCTCACAGGAAAGAAAATATTCTCCTCTCTTGGAAGGCAAGTGACAGAGATAGAGTGCTAAACCTACCCCCTCCTTCTCCAGCCCAGGCTGACCTTCTATGGCCCCTTGGTGCCTCTTGTTTTCTTATTTTTATAGAAAATCAATATCCTTTCTGACACAAACAATAGCTCAGAAGCAAGACTAAATGGGAGAAAGCTGAGATCTCTGTCCATCACCTCTCACTTTAACTCCCCCAAACTCTTTAATTATGAGCATGCTTTGCTCCAGGTGCTTGTGACAGTGAAATTGCTAAATGAGGACAATTTTAACCAAAGATTGGGTGATCAATAATACTCTATAGTGGTAGCTTGTTGGATCAATAGCATTCATTATTTCATGGTTAAGGTAAGTAGCCTCCTTTGCAAGTGGAGGTCATTAATCAGGGGTTACTGAAGCTGTGGAAAAGAATATGTATGGTAGGTGGGGATGTTCTGTTTTCTGTAAGTAGGGATGCTGACCAAGAGTATATTTACCATTGTTGCAATTGGTAGTATTGCAGGTAAGAGTATCGAATAGCTAACACAGTGGGCTTATATGGATATATTCACAGTTCTGTTAGTATCCTTAGGAACAACTAAAAAACACAGCTTAGGAGGTAGATATGATCCTGTTATACTTGAAAGTCTATGTCTTGAAAGAAAAATCCATCTTTTAAGAGGTAGAAGAGTCTCCCTCTTAAAAGAAATGTTGGGATTATTCCATGTGACTCCAAAGGACAGAACTAGGACTCAGGGATAGAAAGCACAGAGTGTTACACTTTGCCACGGTATAAAATATAACATTCTAACAATTGGGACTCTGTAAAAATGAAGTGAATTGTTTCACCCTGTAATGCGTAATGACTTCTAGATCAGTTGGATTCAAACATGGGCTTGATGATGCTTACTTAGTTGTTGTTGAGTTAAGAAGGTTGAACTGAAGACTTCTGAGATCCCCTTGTAACACTGAGATGCTGTGATTCTTTTCAGTTACAGTCTACCTCCCCACTTTGTAATATCTTACCTGGTAAGTAGTCTCAATTGCCCACTGGCAGTCATCTTCAGACATTCGTTCTTTCTCTGAACATTTAGAATGATATTGTCTTTTCTCTTGTTTTGCAGAATTTGTTCAAAGCCCTCTGGGTATTTGCCAGCAAGGGTACATAGATTACCCTTGGACCCCTTCTATACTCCCATGGACATAGGTAACATGCCATTCTCAGATCTACAGCTAGCCAAGAGGATATGTAGATCCCCTAGCCCAATTCCTAGTACTGCTGGGAGGCTTTTATCTTATATAGCTATGCTGGACTGGAATAGTATCTCCCAACTCTCACTGCCTGAGTCCGACCCCATTCCAGGAGTGTGCCATAAATGAAGGTGTAGAAAACACTACAATTTCCAGAATGTACTGTCTCCAGAATGCACTTCTCTGCCTATGTCAACTGGAATCTTTATTCTTGAAGACTATACTTTCTAGGACTCAATACCTTATAACTACTTCCTACCCCCAAACACAAATATACACAAAAC